CGGGCTAAGGGTCCGGGGAGGATTGGAATCCCATCCCCAAAAGCTTGGAACGCCCAAGGTCCCCTGTCCCTACCTTAGGCGCCGGCCGAAGACAATTTCATACTATTTTTCGACGTCCCATTCCCCGATTCCAGGGTGTACATACTACACCTATCCCACGGAGTGAAAGGTTAGTGCGGTTCTTGCGGGGCTTGGCTATATGGATGGCCCCGCAAGTAGTACGCTAACCTTTCACTCCGTGGGATAGGTGTAAGGTTGGGGGGCTTTTTGGTCTTTTGGGTTTGGTCTCAGGGCCCTGGAGCAAAGTACCCCAAAAGGTGCCACTAACGGCACCCGTGATGGAGGATAGCGGGGGCCAAAATGGACAGGCATTGCCGTCATTGGATCGCGTTTTAAAATAAGAGGATTGGTTTGGAGGGGGAACGGAGATGGATGATACTGGGGCGCACTTGAGGGGCGCGTCCTCGGATTCAATTCACGACACGAGCTCTTGCCATTATTTCCAAATCTGAGGCACTGATGCAGAGGCAGGAGCAGAGGCAGCCACCAGTCTCTGTGCTTCTTTCCATCTGAGCCTTTTTTTTTTCCTTCTCAGCTCGTAACGGACTCAGTAGTATCCGTCCAAGTCCGGAGCCTCTTCCTGTCTGCAAATTTTTTTTTCTTTCTTAAAAACCCTCCCTTTTTCTTCCCGTGATCATGTCTCTCCCAACTCCCGTCCATGTCTCTCATATTCGTATTAACCACTGAGTCACCAGCGTCGATACGGGATGGCTGGTCTTACGAGGACACGCAGATGTCCCTTGCCTCTTTCTTCGTCTCTGCTGCCAATTCTCCGATGATCAGACCCACGCTTTGTTTCTTTCTTTTCCTTTCCGCTTTATCTTGCCTTATCTCGCTCGTCCTGTTATCTCTTCGGTGTGAGGTTCTTTTTATCCTCCGCCGTCGTCAGACGAAGTGGACTCACCCAATGCAAGGCGGACTCGGACTGGAAGACGGCCAAATACCATACCAATTCGCAGCACGGATACTACTGCATCCAACAGCCAAGGTTCAAAGTTCAGACGCTACTAACATGATGATGTGCAGCCCTTGGTTTCAGACATGGGATGAATCTGTTGTCTGTCCGAACCTTAGCCCAACAGCCCAGCGGTACCCTTCCTGACCCGTCAGAGCTGCCGACGGTTCCCTGCCTTCGGTGCCCTTCCCGACTAATGTACCCTGCACAAGAGGAGCCGCCGCTGACCAGCAATATGTCGCGTGAGCGACACCCGAACTCTCGCGCAGAAGCTGTTCCCTGCCCGAGCTTGCAGCAAGCAGAAAATGAGAAAGAGAAAAAAGACAACATGCAATTTACAATGATGCAGTCGACAATATCTCGCAACTTTCCCGTCTGCAAGCACATGCGACGGCCCGTCAACTCTGTCAATGTTTCAACAAACGCCTGCATCTGTCTTTTTCACCACCTACAATCCCAATGTTTTCAAAAGATGCGTTGCTGGGAAACGACGGCCTGGGAAAATAATGACGACATGGCCCGTCTCGTCCAGACAGCCGTCTTCCTGACCGTCAATGCAAGCCACCTGTCCAGCCGCTAAAGAACGCACTGCACGGCGGCACACTGCCACAGCTCGCGAGTCATTTCACATGTCAATCACGAAAAATCAGGGAAACGACAGCGCAAATATTCACCATATCGTATTCCTCTCAAACCCGGGCTATGCAAGTATTCGAAATCGCTTCCGTCCAATCAATCCATCACCCAGCATTGACCACTCCGCAGCTGCATACATCACCCAGAAAAGCAACAAATCGTATGCAACAAATTGCCCAACATGCAAAATCCCATCCAACCAAATGAAATTCAACTCAAATAAACGTGTCCGATGCAGCCTCACTTTGCGCACAGTTTACGCATGGACCAATTGCCGGAGCCTCTTTTCGATCTTTTCCCGCCCGTCGAGTGTCTCCCATACATTGTGAGGCGCATCGTCGACAATGTCCCAGTGCTTCAGATTTCTGGTCAAATGGCTGAGATCCCTCTGCTTCTCTTCCCAGACACTATCCTTGCGGAGGTTGTCGCCGGAACTGATCAATACCAAAGGCGTGTCCGGGTATTGGATCGCCTTGCCGCTGATAACCTCCCGCTTAGTGAGCGAGGCAGCCACCAAACTCTCCTGCAGCTTCGTAAACAGGTACTTGCCGCTTTGTCTGGCTGAGCGGCCCCAGATGCGGTCGGCGCTGGTGCGCCCTCGGAATAGAGCACCGGGAAGTCGTTCTAGTCCAAGAGGCGAGATGATGCCCCGCACCCAGTAGAGGAAACCTCGTCCGGGATCCGAGACACGGTAAAGCAAATCTTCGTGGAGGGGGTCGATCATGAGAATGCCGTCCACCTCGTGGCCGTGTCGGGAAGAGAAGATGCGCGAGTACACAGAGCCGATGCCAGCGCTCGCCAAGATCCAAGGGCCATTCTCGCCGGCGCGCGCGAGGGCCTCACTCAAAGCGTCTGTTGCCATACCTGCGGATAGCGGGCTCGGAGCAGTGTCGCTCCAAGCGTATCCCGGGCGATCAGAGAAACAGTACCTTGAGATGGAACCATTCTTTAGGGCGCCCTGCGCAAATTGCCATAGTCCGTTTTCAACTGGCAGATCACCGCCCTCGAAAAGAACACTCGGCAGCTTGTTACCTGCCGCGTCGGTGCCGTTGCCTTCGCAGTAGACGTGAATGCGGTACTGGTCGTTGTCGACCCAGTACTGCTCGCCCGGCGGCCCATACCCAGCGTCGAGAGATCTGAGAATTAGGGTGGCGGTGATGAGAATGATGACGATGGACAGGATCACGTATGCAATGGTCGAGAAGAGCACTTCGGTCCATTCCCACACTGTCCGTCTCGTCTCGACGCGACCTGTGAGCCGCTCCTCTTCCTCGGCCTTGCCCCATTTCACCGTGCGATCAGCAAGCAGCGTCCACAAGCTCATGAGGAAAGCCCCTAAGGTCGTGAGGTAAGTAATGATGCTACTCCTACTGGATATCCGAGGCGGTACTCACAAATGACGCTGGCGACCCCCACCCCGCCCTCCTCATACCGGTTCTTCTGGACGGCAAGAATGAGAATTGTATCAGTGAGCAGCATGACCGCCATAAAGATGGACAGCACCCGCACAGCTGCCGACGGCGCTCCAAAAAACACGAGCGTGAAGAGCAGCGTGAAGAGCGACAGGCTGGAGTAGCTGAAGGCGTAGAATCCAGAGCCGCGGGTGTGCAGGCCGGGAGGGGTGACAAAGATGGACACCAGGTTGATGGTCCACCAGATAAACGTGACGCAGGCGAACAAGACGGTAGCCCATCGCATAACCCTCACCGTCCATAGGTTGTAAGGGGAGACGGCAGGGTCGTCTGGGGTGAGGAACTGGCGATTATCGCTGTCGAGTCGGTTCGGCAGCAGGCGGGTGTGCTCGTCCGGCTCTCGCGTCTCGTACTCGGCCGACCTCCTCTCCTCCGGCGGCCCTTCTGCGGCGGCAGCGTCATCGTCCTTCTTGTTCTTCGACCCGAAAAGTGAAGGCATCGTGAACCTCGTCTCTAATACCGGGTGTCTGTAATTGGCCGCGAATAATCAACAGGCGAGGTGTGCAAGCCCTTCGATGCTACCTTGAACCTTCAAATAAATGAACGGAGGGGTAAAGAAACGGATAAAAACAAAACAAGGAGGAAAAAGGGGTGCCCAAGGAAGACCAAGAAACGAAAGAGACTCGGCCAGCAGAAGAAAGCCTCCTAAGAAATCAGCTAACGCGACTAACACAAGACGCAACCACTTACATCCCGCCTCCAGACGTGTCAATGACGGCGGGGGTGCTCACACCTGCACCAAGCCAGCACGCAAGCTGTAGGATGCAGAGGGCCAGAGCTCCCGGTCATGTCGTCATTGGGTGTGTTGCATGCGGCAGAAGTGGGACCCCGCCGCATCGGCGATTTGGTAGGCCCACCAACACGGAGCGGTGCAGCACGAGCTGTTGGGTGGGGAGCTTACGCTCCGGCCCAGCGAGGGGGGGGTGTGGGGGGGCGATTCAACTGTGAATCGGAAAAGCTGCACCAGTGACATTTCCGCAGCATTTTAAAAACCAAGAATATGCAGCTCTATTTCTTTTTGGTATTGGTGCGCAACCAACCGTATCTTCAGCTTTGGACCTCATGCGAATTCTGGTCCTGCTAGGGTATGGGGTCGGACCGCGTAGGCGCACTTGGTGTCGCAATCAGTGGCGTTCCTCCAACATGCCTCTCCTTGGAAACATGGAAGTCGAGTGTGTTGGTGAGTCCTGAGCCCACTCTGCTCCAGAGGATGAGATATCCCGACATCCTCCTGACATATTGGCCCACGGCCTAGATCCGTCAAACCCAATATTTTGACCCATACTCCATACTCTTAATAAGGCGGGGTCTATCCATAAATGCGTTAAAGAAGTTTCAGATTCGAGCCCGTGGACTAGTATGCTCCACGAACGTCATCATCTTCGCTCATCTTCAACTGCTGTGAAGGAATGTTGATCGCTCTGCGGAAGGGTCAGGGCATAAACTTCTTCCATTACGGACAGGCCTCAGGCATTTGGCGACATCCTCGTGCGTCTATCTCCTCGCCGTCTTTCTCACGTGGTTTGTTCGGCCACTGGGGCGTATTGATGAGCTTAAGCTTGTTCGTTGGTTCACTAAAACGGAGCCTTGGCAATAGAAGCACGTGGATACATGACCAATTCGAAGATTTTCCGTTTTCGTATCAATATATTCATCAAGCAAGCAGTATTCTTTGAGCTCTGTGGCTTCAAAAGCGTAACGAATTCCAATGCGACTTCTCCGCCTGGCTGAACCAGGGCGTCAAGAAGTGGGTATAGTGCAAAAGCAAATTGGCTGCAAGCAACTTGTCATCCTCCGCGCGGCATTTTTACATTCGAATAAGGCGTCCTGACGCCCTCTTCTCCATACCACAAAGGTTCTTCCATTCTCACACACGCCTACGCCCACGGGGCGATCGGGTTGACCTCCCGGCTGCCAGACGACGATTCAGAAGAGACCGAGCTGGAATCTCTCAAAGAGCTGCCGTAACGGCGGATCTGCTTCCGGTTCACGGCTCTCTTTTTGGCAAGCTCCTCGGGCTCAGGGCCGCTAGACGGTTTGATGGCCTCCTCGGGAATCGCGCCAATGGGAGCGTGGAGCTTCGCACTAGCCTCAGGGTCGTTGATGGCGATTCCGTGCTTTCGGTACTCCTGCTTCTTCAACTGCTTCCAGTCTTGAGCACTTGGCTCTCCAGTGGTGAACCAATCTTTGACTTGGCTGAGGAAGCGGTTCTTGCTCTTCTTGGACTTGGAGTTGCTCTCACAGCCGGGCTTTGTGGGGCTTCCACCAACGCTAGGGGTGGAGACGCTACATTCAGATACCTCAGACTGATGAGAAAACATGCGTCTCGGGGGAGACATTCTCAAGCTCATCTCTGACGCCACGCGTCGAAGGCCTTTGGGATTCATCTCGGAGTCGTCGAGATCGATTAACGTGCCGGGATGGTTGTCTTCTTCGTCGATGGCGACGCCGATGTTCCCAGAAGTCGTTCTGGTGTCAACAGTTGTAACTCCTGAGCTGGATGCTGGACGTGGGGGACTAGGTGGTCGTAGGTGTACGGATGATAGATCGACTGATTTGGCAAGCTTGTGCTGGGATGGACGCTTCGACTGGACGGTTTCCTCGTATGTGACTGCGGGCTTTTCCACAAGCGGCTGGCTGCTGATAAACTTCTTGGTCCGGAGGGAAGTTGAGATGCCGAGCAGGCTTCTCCGTTTCTCCTTCCTAACAGGTGACGGCCACTAGCCGTAGGCGAATGCCTCTGGTTGAGAAACCGGGGAGATTGTTGCAGGCGATTCTGGGTCTTCTTCGCCCCGCAGAGGCACGTAAGACGATGCCCAGTAGAACGGTGTATCGATATGTCGAAAGGATTTTGGCTGAACCGTGTTCTCTGCCGTAGGAGGTGGTATCGATGTCGGGTACAATGCTGTCGGGTATGAGAAGTTTCGAACGAGAGATGGCGGATGGTTATGGCGATCGGGAAGAGAATGTGTTTGATTCCGATGCCGTTGGAAAAGAGGCATTGTACGGCTCAGAGGGAGGTAGAAAAGTGACTTGCTTCTAGCCAGTCATTACAGGGGGGTGGTGAGGCAGGCAGATGTCTCGAAGGAGACGAGGCCGCACGGGGTGATCCGGAGACGTATCGATACTTGGCTCGGACAAGATGGTGCACTTGTCAACGTAATTTGGAGGTGAGATCGAAAGGACAACACCCGAGAGACGACGAGGAGCTAGATGGCTTGATTTGACGGTTAGGAGAGATGGGAGAGTTGATAGGAGACGGGAATGGGTGTCGTGGGATGGGGGAGACTGAGGCTGTATATGTTCCCTACTGGTCGTGGGTTTGAAAGGAAGAGGAGCGAGGGTGATATGCAGAAATAAAGAAGATCAGCGAGCTGAAAAGGACGACACCTCGTGGCAGGAACGTGCGGGACTACGCCTGGCCAAGTGGCAGAAAAGGGAAGGTCCAAGAAAAGAAAGTATGGGAGGGTCTCACAAACCACGCCTGCCTCGTGCCTCGCGCCTCGCTCAGTACCCTGTGCAAGCACGCAGGACCAGAGCCAGTCAGGTTCAGCTCACCTGCACTTTCCTTGGTTTCCTGCCACGCTCTCACCATGCATCAGCGCCCGCGGGCTCGTGTTGCTGCTTCTTTCTCGCGACTACAAGGAAAAAGCAACTCGGAACCACCTTCCCGACGCTCTCCGTTATGCAGGTCGACGTCGTAAGTGGACGCCACATTGGTGACGGAAGCACTAAGATCACACGCTAGTACGGATACTGACGTTGGAAAGGATTGTGCGGTGACCTTTCCTGCTATTCATTGTCTGTTTGAAGCGTTTCCTGCGGTGAGATCTTGATACTTGCTTCTATCTGCTTGATACTCTGGATAGGTACCTCAGGATGGTAGGGTAAAGTATGGCTGGCTCTTCGGCGTTTGAGTACGGATGTGAGGCATGCTGCTACCCCGGTGACATAATGATTCCTCTCTTCTATGTCTCGTAGCTGACGGGAACTTGTCTCAGACGCCCCAAATCTCGAAAGGCGTAGTTTATAACTGTTAGCTCGCCGACGGCGCTGCGTTTCGCTCTTTGTTGCCGATTGTCAGTTTGAAAACCGGTCCTCCCGGGGTCCTGGGTCAAGATCAAGATCGACAGGTCCTGGCACTTGCAGCGGTAAGGCCTCCCGTGTCGAGGCGCAGTACCCTTTGTCAGATTCATGGCAAGCTTCAAGGGGTCGTAGAAGACCAGGATGAAAAGAGAGAAGAAAAGCTGCTCTTCGCTAGCGACTCGGGTAGCAGAACGTGGATATCTACAATGTCCAACGATGGGATCCGAGGGGAATACAGCGTCGTGGGCGAAACCAATATTTCACTGGGTGGACTTGCCAAAAAAGCAAACTGCCAAGCCGCTGCAGCCACAATATTGACGAACCAGATCTCAGACCCCCCGCCCGATTGTGGTGTTTCCCCAGCTGAGCCATCAAAAGGACCTGCTGGCGTACGACTCTCGAGCGCAAAATACGGACGTACGGCCAAATAACGTTGTGAAGAATCATCTAGAAGCCGACTAGAATGTCCGAAGCCACGACTACCATCTCTCAACATCGAGGTTTGAGGAATACGCTTGTGACCGAAGGCGGTTTGCTGATTCCTGTGGTAGACGTTTGCGGGTCGTGTCTCTCTGCTTGTCGGCCGAGATATCAGCTGCGCCTTCAGCAGGCGGTTAAGAGCCGAAAACCCGCCAGTCATCGTGATGCGCACCGAGGTGCAGCAAGTAATGCCCTGCAGAGTCCAACACCTCGGATCCTGGTCGAGATTTAGTGGGGCTGGGACTTGTGCTGACGCAGGAGGGGACAAGGGAGGGGAGGCCGTGCACTGCCCGCCTCGGCGCCTACTCAGATCTCGACGCTGCAGGCGCTCGAATGGAACTAGCCAGTGGCAAGCGTGCATTTGGACGTCAACCTTCAGCGTCTTTCATCCAACATCGACATCCACCCCGCCCCAACCGTGAGTCTGAACTTTGACCGAAGTCGAGTGGTGCTCGGCCCAAAAGGAAAAAAAGGCAAGACACGACACACCAGCAAAACCAAGCACACGTCACTCCTGTACCGATATCGCCGGCGAGCTTCTTGCTGGCTCTTACATCCGGCGGCTCGTCGAACACGTCCGGCATCCCAGCCGTCTGAACTATCCCAAAGTCTCACAACGAACTCTCCCTCAAGTCTCGACGCCCGAAGCTTCTCCTCTGCTCCTTAAGCTGAAAACGGACCTGTGCTGCTGCACTAGCGACCCCTCGAAAGCTGACAGAGTTTCCGCGCCAGCTCGCGCGGCGCGGAACCGCAACGCACGGTGCACCTTCAGCCTAGCTCCGATTGTCTCCCGTCCCTTGCTTGGTTTCCCCTCTCTGGCCTTCCTCTACCTTAGGTCCGAACCCCACCAAAGAAACACCATCCAACCTCTCCCACCTGAATCTTACAAAACACACCACCAGCAAAACAAACAAAACCAGCGCAAACTTGTCGCGAGCCACTCCAGCCTCGCTCACAATGCCTGGCCTCACGATACAGACAGACTCTCTCTCCCCGCGCGCATCGAACGCCCCGCCGCCATCTACGTCTGCGGCTGCTGTCGGTGCTCCAGGCGCCCCAGCTGCCGCAGCTTCCTCGTCCTCCGCGGCCGGCGCAACAAACCCCCCAGCGCAGACCCCTCCGCGCTCCTCCCGTTCATCATCCCCCGCCCGGCCCCCCATCAGCCCCATAACACCGACCCTACCCCCCGCTCGTCTCGCCGACCCTGCCGCCCCCTTCGCCGCTGGTCGTCCGGTCTTCACACACTCCACTCAGCCGGCCACAGCCGCTACCTCGGCCATCCCTCCTCCGCGACCGGAGCCCATCGACTTCGAATCGAACCCAGACGTCCTGGCCCTCAAGTCAGCCATCTCCATCCTCCAACTACAACAGAAGAAGGCCGCCGCGGATATACAGGGGCTCAACCAAGCCAAGATCGCTGCCCTTGGCGACCCAGCAGAATTCCTTGCCGACCTTGCGGCTGGTAAGGTGCATGCCCAGGGCGACAAGTTGTTCCCAGAGTCGGACTCGGATTCTGATGACGAAGAGGGGGTCAAGCAAGCGAAGATGGAGGGTGTAACTGCTGGCCAGGGCAAGGCACCAGAACCCAGGCCTTGGGAATCTCTTCCCAAACCACAAAATGTGGTGCGCTGTCCGCCCATCAACTGGTCCCAATACGCCGTGGTTGGAGAGTCATTAGACAGGCTGCATGCGGACCAAATAGCGCGGCCAAGCCAGGGCGCACCGGCGACGATGGGCCCCAGCGGAACATACGAGTTCACGGGAGTCCCTGGAGGAAACCAGCGGCCGTATGTCGGTGTAGCAGCCCCTTACACTCCTGGTAAGGACAGGATCGACAAGAAAGCAAAAGGGGCTAAGAAATGAATTTGTTTACCGCGTTCGCTACGGGGCACGACGCCCCAGCCTCCTATGGTTAGGCAGGCATGATGAGCGACGACTTTTCACGGATGGTTATGAGATTATGAGGCGTTAGCTATGGTTTGCATACGATGGGATGGCGTTCTGGTCCGGCATCGTTCACGAGTAGGATATTCAAAAATTAAATCAACGTTGAAAGAGGCTCGTGACATCTCTTGAGAAGAGCTAGTTCGTTGCGTCATTACTCGAGGTATCTACTGGAGTCTAACGGGACAATCCCAAACCCATTCCTGGTATGCATGATTCCTATGCCTTGTAAACGCCGTCCCGTCCTGTACAGAACTTGATAAATCAGAATCCACGGTCAAAGATCAGGGCCCCTGCTGCTATGATTAATGGCAAACCCTGCAAAACTGCAGACTCATAACTTCCAATGGAAGTTCTCGATCTGCGCAAGTGGATTGCCTTTTGAAGCGTCAAATCTCTGCGCTTCCAACGCCTCTTCGCCCGGCGCCGAGAGCGCAAGCAGCGCAATTACTCAGAAATCACTGAGTTGGGTCAGTAAGGGTGTACCCTTTGAGATCGGCTTTGGTAACTTACTCCATGCTTTGCTGAACAGACCTCCGGAGACGACGGTTGTAGTTCTTCCGCTCATCGGCGCCGCCCCAGTAGAGCTTGTGAGCCTCTGGGTTGACCAATGTGCGGGGATCGTAGGCGGGGTCCTCCTCTTCCAATGCGGCAAAGACCGCCTCAATATGAGAGCGAACGTCATCCTTGCGCAGATTGTTGGGGAAGTAGCAAGCCGTGCCATCCTCAGCGATCCGATGGTGAAAGATGCGAGTGTTGAATCTCACGCGAGGTTGCTCCTCGGGAAAACGAGGGCTGAAGTGGATCTTGATACGGAAGAGACCGCCATCAAGGTTGGTCATCGGCCGTCCAAAGTAGGTAATGACCCAAACGAAAGGGTTGTTGTCTTCCAGTTGCACGTCGTGGGGAATGTCCTGGCGCTTGAATGCCTGCACGACCTGCTCGTACTGGTGGCGCAAGTTGACCGAGACCGTCATCTCCTTGTCGCTCGCAATCTGACCCTCCTTCACCCACTTAACAAGCTCATTATCGAGGGCAGCCTTGATGTTGCGCAACCGTCTCTCTAGCTCGGTGTAGTTGAATTTGCCATCCATGGAGTTGCTAGCACCTTCGAATGGCATGCGAGCAAACGCCTGGTGATCCTTGACCTCTGTCTTGGCCTTCTGAACAGCACTTAGGTAGTTGTCGTAGTACCAGAGAAATCTGCGCTTGCATAGGTCCTTGAAGGGCTCGAACGGAACGCTAGTGTCGTCCATGTCTTCGGTGTCCATGTCGATATCTTGCTCAGCAGCGGACTGCTGGGCGATGGAGACGCCCTCGGGGGTCAGTCCCAGGTATTCCTCGAGGCGCTGGATGATGGAGATGCGGAGGGTCTCATGGCGTATCTAGCTCTTATGGTTAGCCATGCGTCGTCTCTGCATCGCGAAGTCGCACGCCGGTTACCTTCTGCACATAATCCTTCTGATGCTTTTTGTCCGACGCCTCGTTCGCCTCTTCGAAACCCGGCTCGTTCTCGTAGGGATTGCTCGACATCAGGCTCTGGATGGAAATAAGGATCGACTCGAGACCCTGCGCAGCCGACCACTCCTCGCCGCGCTCGCCGCGCCAAGTGCTGTGTTTCCGTCAGTTCGGGATTCGGTCGGATTGAATCATTAGCCATACCCTAAGATCGACCTGTAGCGACGTCAGTATTCAGCAGCAAAGTATGCGCCCAGCAGTAGGAGCAGCGGGAGACCTACAAGCAAACCTTGCCGGATGCATAGATATTGGGATTGAAGCGACAGCGTCCGCCGTTCGTTGTGATGCCGGTGACATTGGGAGACTTGCGTGGGTAGTCTGCTTCGCGGTTAGTCCCTGAAGTTGTTTGCTTCGCAGCCATGCAAAACATACCCTTATTGAATCTGATCGCAAACTGGAACGGTAATTAGCATGGCGACACGCTGAGTAACTATGCGAGGACCAACGTACCTCGAAGAAACCAAACTCGTAGGGCGTGTCGTGAGGGCCGATGATCAACGCCTTAACGTTGCGAACATCGACATCTCGGCAGGCAACGGCCAGCGCTGTGAGACAGGTTAGCGGCGGTGTCAGCCAGAGGAGCTGCGGAGGGGATTCGTACACAAATCCGAGGTGCGCTGGATGTCGCTCAACTCCTGTACGACGCGACCGTTAGCCTTCTAATTTCAACCCCTCATTCCATGTTTGGGGGAGGCGAGGCGAGGCAAGTGAGGGAGGCGGAGGTGGGACGGAAGTGTGGCTACCTTGGTGATGCGAATGATGGATTGATCAGCCATGCTGACGGCTCAGTTGGGCGCTTGATAGCTCCCTATCCAACTTCTGGCGGGCTATATTGCGGGAAAGGGCGTCTCTGAATGTCGGCTGGTGGAAAGACTCTCCTCTCGTGGAAACAGGTGAAGGTGAACGAAAGAGGGCGGCTCGAGAGCCTGACAGACGAAGAAGAGGTCGGGTAAGGTAAGGAGAATGGGTTATGCAGGTGAACAAATACGCTTTCCGTTGGCTGGTTGGTAGGCAGCTTTCGCAGGGTGAAATTCACAAGCAGGCTACCTCTTTGTGCAGGCGCAAGACGGTGGAAGCGACTGGGTCGGAGTATGGAAGTGAGAGAATGGAACGTTAGGTTGAGGCAGCTGCTCTAAATCGGCAGTTTGGCGGGGCATGAGGGGTAATTTTAGCGTCCCATTCTGGGTATCTGATGCAGGACAATCGCTGCAGTGTGGTGGGAGCGCCGCCATTGCCTCTCTAAATTCCGTCCACGGGTCGCCTCCAGGTGCCTCCTAGGTACCCGGGACGGGACGGATAGCCCCACAGTGGCCGACGGATGATCGCTCCGGGTGCTGGTCCCGTCCCTGTGCATTCAGTGAGGTATCTAGGTAGTCAGTCTGAGCAGTCTAGATGTCTCGGCAACGGAGGGGAACAAGAAATGCGATTTTCTAAATTTCTGCTGCCTAGAAATAGCCTCCAGGACAGAAAATCAACATCATCCTCTCCTGCAGGCTATTTGTCAAGGTCCCACAGCCGCATCTAGCCGTGTTGCGAGGCCTTGGACCAGCAGACGTTGAGGTGAGACGATGACGGCGCTTCTGCATATTTTATCAAGACCTGCTGGGCGTAAAGGTACTGTGATACCTCATCTTACTATCCAGCATGGCTTTGTGTTCATCCTTGGTTCTCATGTTCCATTCTATCGCAGATCTCCCGTCCACAACACCATCGGGTATCGGCATCATACTTCCAGCTGGGTGATATTTGTACTGCCTGCTTTGTTCGAGATCTAGCTGGCATAATTTGTGAGGAGCTGAATTGCCAGATTTATAAATTTGACCACGTGGAAAGGAGTTGAGATTTCGTGCATTCGGACGCCGTCATAACACCGTGTGATAGATAGTCGCATGCGCATAGTCGGCTTGTCGACTGATTGAAACTTATAAAAGTTCAGAAATCGAGAAAGCCTGTATGAAGCAGCAAGAACCTGCCTTCTTTCCAGCACACCTGGATAGAGGATGCAAATGAGACGCCAAAGGAAAGCTTTGCGTCACATTCAGGCAAGGCACCTACCTACCTGTCGGTGGGGCACCGCGGGGTTCCAGTCTACACGCGATCAGTTCAGACCCCTGTCGGCCAA